GATTTTGAGGGGATAACCAAACTGAGTACATACCATCCTATGAAAGGTTTTAAAAATGGAATGAACTTCATCTTTGGTTTTCACAAGATAAATCCAAGTATATCAACTAAAGTCATCAACAAACACAACAAAGTAACGAAAAACCAAGTAACGATGTAGTAGATTCAAGACCTCACACATCAGAATGAACAAGTTGCAAAGGAGCTATATTTTTATTAATACTAGTAGGATAAGAAACACGACGTTGTTTAGAAAGACCACATGTTTCACAATTTAACTCAAAAGATTCAATAGAAGCAAAATGGGGAAGCACATGCTTCAAAACAGGAAGAGGTAAATGACCTAGTCTATTATGCCATCGCATAAACAGGTCTTTATTGACATTGCTATTCCCAACACTAGATTGATTTGCACTATAATAAGAAGTTGGCCTCGCGTTCAGCAAATACAAGCCATTGTCCTCACGTCCACTTCCAATCGTCTTCCCCATGTCCAAGTCCTGAAACACATAGTGAGATGGAAAAAAGGTTACACTACAATTCAAGCCTTTTGTAATGTGATTGACACAAAGGAGGTTATTGGTAAACTTTGGGACATGATGAACAGAGGATAAGGTAAGATTAGGAGAGGCAGAAACAGTGCCCTTCCCTGCAATGGAGGTGAAGGTGCCATCAACCACTCTAACCTTATCCTTACTAGAACATAAACTGTACGAAGAAAAATCAGATGTCATACCAGTCATGTGATCAGTGGCTCCTGAATCAATAATCCAGGGTGGCCCACCAGATAATGTGGAAACCTAATGTGCCGAATGAGAGGTACCAATTTGAGCGAAGTTAGAGGTGGAAACGGAGGAATGTTGTGCTAGTAGATGTCGGAGAGCATCAAGTTTAGCCTCGGACAAAGAACTCGGTGGCCTTGAGGAGGCATGACCAGTAAAAATAGTCTCACGCTTTGCATTATGTGCCGTAGATAACCCCCTAAATGGACCGGGCCTTGGCCTAGCATTGGCATTAGTAGGAGCTGGAGTAAGGCGACCGTGTAGATTCCAACATGTTTCCCTAGTGTAGCGCGTACGCCCACAGTGATCACACCTCAACTTGCTTTTGTTATCCTATTTCCCTCCTTTTGGAGGGTTGGGTTTGTTCCATTGTTGTGTGGCAAGAGTAGACCTCTGAGACAATGGTACTTCTGGCTCAAGCTTAGTGTATACAGGTGCAAACATAGCCTTCATTCTACTCTCCTCAGCTTGAATATACGAAAACACATCTCTAACAGAAGTTGGGGTTGGATACCTGCCTAACACTTGTACTCTGGCATGCTCGTATCTCGGATGCAGACCACCCAAGAACTAATAGATTCGATTCCTTTCTACTATAGCATGAAATGCTTTAACATCAGCTGCACACATAAGTATGTAGTCTTGGTAGTGATCTAACTCTTCCCATTTACCACGTAGAGTGTGGTAATATGTAGCAAGAGTTTGGTCTTCCTGCTTGAATCTTGAAATCTGTTGTTGGAGTCCATACAGTTTTGCAAAATTACCAAATGAGGAATACGCCTCTTCCACAGCTGTCCATAGCTCTTTAGCTGTTTTCACAAACCCTTTGCTGATCTGTGGCTATATTGATTGCAACAACCACGTCATAACTAGTGCATTATTTGCACTCCACAATTTGAATTCAGGATCGCTTTTGGAGGGATATGTGACAGTCCCTTCGATATGGTCGATAATCCTACGACCAGTGACATACATACAAGCAGATTGAGCCTACTCCATATAGTTCGTCTAACCCAGCCTAACAGTCTTAATATAAAGGTCTGGATGGTGATCATTATTACCTCCTAATATTGGAGTCAGACTAGAAGAAGACCCAACTTCTTTTGAAGTCACCTCTCAGCCAGACATTTTATTAAACAGTTTCTAGGTATATAATCCTCAGAAACAAAAACAGCAACAAAATACGTAGAGAACCACCTCTCTAACACACAAACTTCAACCGTCTTCTGAGATGCATAAAATAGCGACCACACAATCACCAAACAAACCCTAGAAAGCAAAAAAGTAGACCATACCAGAATTGCGAACGACGAAGAAAAAGCCGCTATTGCAGAACCCCGTGAACACAAAAAAAATTGATCGAGACTGCAATAAATAAAAAACAGGTCCAAAAAAACAAATCCCATCTTGGAATCTCTTCAGAACCCTTCACTCGCACTAGGGTTTACACAAACTTGCCCTAGGGTTTCAATTACACACCTAGAGCTTTACAAACCATGCTCTGATACCATATTGACTTTAAGATATAATCAAATCAAGAATGAGTGATAAAGAAGAAGAAAAAGAGAAGAAAGCGGATGAGAGAAAAAAAGAGAGAGATGGGGAAAAAGAGAAAGAATGAAATTATACTTTCATCCTTCCACCACATTCTATTTATAATAACAAGTTTAAAAAATTACATATAAGCCCCAACATTATATAAGTAATAACAAATAAGCCCTTGACATCAAAAATAATATCAGGGGATAAATGAACATCTCCTTTACTACGAATAATGGTGGTTGATCCATCGGCTAGACTAACAGTCTGATTAACAAGGGTAACGGGAGTAGAAAATAATAACAATTCACCAGTCATGTGATCATTGGCTCTGGAATCCAGAACTCAAGTAGGTTTTCCCGATTAAACATGAAAAGCATAAGGCGTACCAGTAGCTATAGTAGTCGTGGGAATAGAAGAGCCAGTTCTGGTAGATAAAGCTCCAAACTGCTCCTGAAGTTGACCAATCTGGGACTGTAACTGATTGAAGTGCTGAAAAGATGGTCTGGGAGGAGTTGAAGCAGGAGGGACAACAATTTGTGGAGTAGTATACCCACCAATAGTATTGGCTATTGCGGTAGTGCGGCCACCGCCAGCGAGAAAATTTCTGCTTTAGCTTGGGATGAAGCTTAAAGCAACGATCCTTTACATGACTTGTGGCTCCATAATGTTGACAAATAATCTTTCCCTCTGAAATTCTATTATTAGCAGCAAGAGCCATCTGATCAACTGGAGTCTCTGGTAAAGCTATTGGCTGAGAGATTTATGCTCTTCATGGTCAACAGTAGCGAAGGCATTATATAAATTAGGCATAGGAGAGGTGTTTATGATTTGAGTTTTAAGAGCATCATACTCAGATCGTAAACCCATCAAAAACTGGTAGGTATGTTGGTGGTCCAGTCTCTTGACCAAAAGAGTTGCAACTTCTTCAGAGAAATCAGAGAAAGGTTCATACTGTGCTAATTCTTCCCACCTAGACTGGAGGTACCCGAAATACTCTGATACTGACAGCTTGAGTGTCTCCTGAGATGCATGAGCAATCTCCTGATAGAGTTCAAAGATACGAGCGTCATTACGGGAATGGGCATACATCTTGTTAAAGGCTTGACACATACGAAAAACGAAAGTGTGAAACATGAACATATTATAGATACGCTCCTCCATTGAGTTGAAGATCCAACCCAGAATGGTGCACCTGTCCATGTCCCATGCAATATATTTAGTATCCGTCTCTTCCAGTTCCTTAACTAGACCCAAAAGCCAACCAGTTTTCCTTTCCCTCCACTATAGAGTTGAAGAGAACGGGACCAAGATACGAAGTTGTGCCCATTCAAGAGCACACTAGTAACCCAATGTGCCGGAGTATGATGTGCTGAACATAAAGTATGCTGGACCGAGGATAAAGTGTCCTTTTGGCTACTAGAATCAGTCATAGTACCAAAATAAGGCTGGTCCACACGTCAAAGTAGGAGGAAAGAGAAAAAAACAAGGCCGAAAAAATCGGTGCTTTCCTCCAAATATGCTGCTGAACAAACACCGGCAGCCCACAAAGAAAAAAACACACCAGAAGGACTCTTAGGTCATAAAAACCTAAGGGAATTCTCCTAAAAAAGGAGTAAAAAACAGAGGGTTACCCGAGGGGTCAGGCGCAAGGGCTGGGAGGAGATGGAGGTGCGCCGGAGGTGAGGGAAAATGGAGAGAGGGAGAGAGAAGGTGGCGGCGTTGGGGAGGCGAAGGTTTTTGTTTTGCTTTGATACCAAAAAGAAGTTGTTTTGGGTTTTGGCTTATTCAAAGTGAGAGCCAAGAGTTATATTTATATACAAGAATAGGGTACAAAGAAAGGAAATCAAATCAAAGAAAAACAGGAAGTATGTCAAAATCTACGTGATCCCATGATTATGGGGATCTTATCTACGTGATCCCATGATTACGGAGATCTTATCTATGTGATGCCATGATAATAGGGATCTTACATAAAACACCTAATAAAAGGCTGAAAACAGCTAATAATAATAATAATATAGATATTTCAACACACACACACACTGGTTTACTTTTTTATAGTTGCTATTCTTTTGGTGGTTTCTTTGTAACAAACACATCCGCGAAGAGATCGAAGTGAAGTCATCAATTCAACCAATTTTCAATAATGTAATTTCCGTACAAGCCATAACCCATGGGATTTACTATGTTATTTATAGTTAAAAATTATTGAAAGAAATGATTGCATAAAAAGAATTCTTGCAAATGAATTTACCTAAAAACTAAAATATGTTTTAGAATCTTACCAGGGAAAGAACAAAAAAAAAAGGAAAAAGAAAGTGTTTTAGAATCCCACTGAATAAAAGGATAAATTGCTGGTTTTGTCCATGAGTTATTCAAAATTTTATTTAACCTATATTTTCAGGGTATGTCCAATATTTTACCTCTACAACCTTATTCACAGCCCCTACGTGGTGATACACTTGGCACTGTTTTCCCAAATGGTGGTGGGATTCTTATTATTATTATTATTTTCTTTGTTGGGGGGGGGGGGGGGGGGGGGGGGGGGGGCGGGCGCGGGGTGGGGGTTGGTGGTTGGTGTTACATGACATCGCTAATCCTTGAAGTTCAAAACTGCATGAATGTTTGTTTCCCATAAGAATTTCACCGCAAAGACTGATGGTCCGTTATTCTGCAGGTATAAAGGTTTCTATGAGTATGCTAAATCAAAAGGACTGGATGTTGGTGTACCAGTCGGACTTGACGTCATCGTTGATGGAACAGTTCCTACAGGTATACTTTCCCATCATTTTCACGTATCATTGCAATTTCAAGGCTGTCCAATTTCATTAGTTTATCAGTAATATTTTGAACGAGAGAGACTTGTTTTGTAAAATGAAGTCACATCCGAGTCACCTCCTTTTCACACAGGGTCTGGACTGTCTAGCTCTGCAGCATTTGTTTGCTCTGCTACAATTGCTATAATGGCTGCCCTCAATCTGAACTTTCCAAAGGTATTCCTATCATTCTTGAAAGCTGTTGATATGGTTTTTCATAGAGTTTCTATGTCAGTTAAACAGAAATGTTTGACTTCAGAATCGCAAATTGGAACCGAGAAGTGCATTTGATTGGAAAATAGCATACCATGTGCCCATATCTCATTCTAAAACTGCAACCTAAGGAATTTTGCTTTTGTTTGGTACGCAACTCGAAAAAGCCTTTTCCCAACTACTTGAGGTCGGATACATGAATCCTATTTTCCCATTCTGATCCATCTAAGGCCATAGTCTCAGTCAAACCACATGTTACCTATATTTCCTTGCTTACTGTATTTATATTAATTTTCGGTCTTCCCATTTCCATAACATTACCCTCTATGTGTATTATGTCACTCTTCCTAATTAATGCACTTAGTGTTCTTCTTTAGACATATCCAAACTATCTTAATTGATTTTCTTTTGTATACTTCTCATATTTTGGCTGTGAAAAATCTGTAACAGCCATCAACTTTTCTGATGTAGTAATACATTGAATTATTTAGTTCCGCATAAATTGGTGGTGGTTTCTCAAGAATTGGAAGTATTTTCAAATTGGAGTACAAGATTATGTGTCCTGTGATATCTTGGTTTTGTAGTCTATCTTAATGGAAGGAAATAAGTTAACATAAACTAATAAAACAATGTGAGGCATTTGATCAAAACCTTCTTCATTGTATCCATTTTGCTACTTTCTTTGTATGAGTTCCAATTTGTAACATATTACCAATGATTTTCTGAAGAATGCGCACTAATATGCTTAGAACTTTCTAAATAACTGACATTGACATGAGAATTGACTTCCTAGCTTATAATTTATATTATACTATGCATTGTTGTATTCTTATTTTTGCATTCAATCTTCACAGTCAATACAATTATCCTTGATTAGTGAATCAAAAGCTGTCAATAGTAACCAGCCACATAGTAGTGAAAATCCTTTATTTTATTTTATTCTAATTGTATTCTTTATATTACAGAAAGAAATTGCTCAACTTACATGTGAATGTGAACGGCACATTGGGACACAATCTGGTGGAATGGACCAGGTTTGACTATCTTGCTCCATAATCATGATTTTCATCATGGATTGTTAAAAAAGGACATTGTGCAAACATGATCCAAGCTCTTGTCAGAGCTAATCCTTTTCTATGTTTTAGTTTATTGTGAAAGATATTTTAGGTGGTTTCTGTTTAGTGTTATCTTAAAATTGTAAGAACTCTTGTTCTTATCAAATGGTGGCTAATTTTGCTTTACAACATGCACTAGTATAGCATTTCACTTCAGTCCTTGTTTCTTCCGAGTCTCATTAATCTGCTGTTTTTTAGGCTGTTTGGGTGAAGGAGTTTTTATTTTATTTTATTTTTTATCATTGTCTTGTGCTTTGTCAACCTGATTGTTCTAGTATATATATAAAAAAATTCCGGTAATTAACCTGATTTTCCTAGATGCCAGCTTGTAATGCCTGGAAATATTTGTTATAAAACAGTTGTAGATGATGCATAGTATCTATTATGTTTTGTAACTGCTAGGCCACAACGTTATCACCACTTGTGAAAGTAACTTCATAACATTGTATGACAATCAGTAAATCTAAGTATTATCACCTTGGTTCCCAGTTGCATAACTACTAGGCTAAAACTACCCCTTGTAGGATTTTTCTTCGTATTCATAATTATGCACGTTTGTAATATATGGAAACCTGATCCCATGAGAGCTCATACACTAGAAACATATTTTTTTCCCCAGTTTTATGCAGTAATATATGTGAAGATTCAGAACTTAATTTTATATAATTTTCTGTTGGTGCAAGTTGGTATACTATGTCACGAGTTAGTTTGATCCACTGTTTTTCTTTTAAATTAGTCATGGAACAACAGCTATTTAGTGTGTTACCATTATTCAGTCCCACATTCGTTGTGCACTCAAATTACATTGACAATTAACTCATCAACTGATCAGAGAAGCTAAAACCGTTGTTCCGCATGGTGAAAATTTTCAGTTACTAATGATCTATTATTGTGCAAATTTCACTGTTGCTAAACCCTCATACAGTTTAAGCTCAGAATCGGTTTCCAATGATTTTATTATGATGGTTCTTTAATTATACCTCTCCCTGGAAATTTATGTTATTTTCATGCTCATCAAGTGAATCAACATGGTTTTCTTTTTTTAGTGAGATTACTGGTCATAATCAATCTGTTCATTTCTTGTTTCACTCAAAAGGCAATCTCTGTCATGGCTCAATCCGGGTTTGCAGAGCTGATTGATTTCAACCCTATTCGTGCAACTGATGTGCAACTTCCTGCTGGTGGGTCTTTTGTGATAGCCCATTCATTGGCCGAATCGAAGAAAGCAGTCACTGCTGCTACAAATTACAACAATCGGGTTGTTGAATGTCGGCTGGCTGCTGTAAGTTTGTTTATTCTCTTTTATTTGTCATAAGTTGATACAAGTTACTTACCTTGGGTGGTAGATTTGCTTTTGCCCTTACACTGTCCTCTGAATTCGCTTCTTGTTCGAGTATTCTGGTTTCTTGTTACTGTTATAAAATTATTTAGCAATTATATTTTAACAAAATTTAAAGGAGCTTGGCGACTAGAGGTGACCTTAAGCATTTCATCTTAATATTAAAAGCCACAATTTTGACTTTAACTTGGAAAAAATGCTCTGAAACATAAGTCTATTGAGCAACTTCTCCAGGGTTTCTATCACAAGCGTGTTCCAACTTATAGCGATGAGCTGATGAGGGGTGAGGCACTCCATAACTAATGCCATTTCCATATCCTTATGACTATTTCTTTTTAGTTCTAGCTTTCTATTCAGAGGTTTAAGGAGTCTGATCTGAGATTTTTGGATTATATGTCAATGGTAGGCACTTCATTTTCAATTTTTTTTTTTTCACAATATCACTCTACCCCAGCAGCATAAAAAAATTAAAAACAATTATCTTAAAGCCTGGCACTTTATTTTAGTTGTTAAATCCTTGAATCAAGATCTGCTTACTCGGGGGTAAATTTTAGTTGGTTTGAGCATGATTAAAACTTGCCCATTTATACAAGCATCGTATTAACTTCTTTTTTGTCTTCTAATTTAAATTTACAAACTTTTAAATAATTTGTGCTAGAACTAAACTTCGGATTATGCTTTCCTGCTTTGAACATAGCCTTACCTTAATTCCATTGCTCGACATATTCCGGGTATGCTTACAATTTAATTATTAGTAAATCCAACTTACAAATCTTTATATCACAATGTTTCTCGGTTAGGTTATGTGTATCCTTATGTCGTTTCATATCAGCGTTGCTGTGTTGAATGCAGCAAGTAAATCCATATGCATGAAACATAATTGTTGGGGTGCTTTGATGTTTGTTCATGGAACTGCAAACAATTACACAAAGTAGCGCAGCTGTTATAGGCATATGGTCAAGACGCACAACCTTCCTATGGCATCAAAGATGTCTGAATTTAAAACTATGCCCTAGTCGTTGAGCTGACTTCTTTTTCAAAATTTTGGGTAGATGGTACGAGCCTGCTTGTGCTTGTGTAAGCACGTGGCTGTGCATGTGTGTGGATGGAATGACAAATGACTGGTTATTTATGTGTTAGATATTGTCATCTACATGAAATATGGAAAAAAAACCATAGAGTAAGGTAGGGACGTGCAAGTGCTTTAATTTTTTTCATTAGAAATTTTATTTTATCCTCACAATTAAATTTTTTGACACTTTTGCAGATTGTACTTGTTATAAAGCTTGGAATGAGACCTCAAGAAGCAATATCCAAAGTGAAAACTCTTTCTGATGTCGAAGGGCTGTGTGTTTCATTTGCCAAGAATCATGGTTCTTCTGATCCCGTCCTTGCTGTCAAGGTATCTAGTTAACTATTATGTAACCCAAGTGTGTTGCAAAACTTACATATATTTTCTTTTTTCCCTTTTTATAATTTTTTTCCCTCTCTTTAGATATTAGGATTCCTGTATTACTGGGATTCATGGTTGCTTCAAGGTAAAATAAAATTGTTTCTACCCAGACGTCTATATCAGATTTTAATTGTTTATTTTGTCACTGCTCTAGGAACTTTTGAATGAAGAACCATATACAGTTGAAGATGTTGAAAAAATCACTGAAGAAAACTTGCAGTCAATGTTTGCCAATTCTCCAAGTTCTTTGGATGTGCTAAAAGCATCCCGGCACTACAAGTTATTCCAGGTAGTTTTGATTACTTGGCAATACTGATTTTAACCTACATTTATGATTTTGTTATTATTTAAGTTTGTCAAGTGGGTAAGTCACTTAGTTAGGTCTAAGGTTCGACTCCTCTTGGGTGCAAACAGTTCCTTGGTGTGTGGGTGGGGGGTTGTGTGTGGTGTGAGTACCAACTAGGAAAAAAAGAGTATCAATATTGGTTGCTATTATACTCCATGTGTCTTTTGTTAGTCATGATTAAATATAAGTTGGCTTAAAGATGGTGATTGTTTGCTTTTTGGAAGAAAGAAAATAAAAGTACTATTGAAATTTAAGGGAGGAATTAGTGGAGGAGACCTATTATAGAAGATTTGGTGTTATTAGAGGAATCAGTGGAGAAAAATCCTCCTTGTTTCCTATTTTCTAATTCTTTCCATTCTCATAATTTCTTCTCCTATATAAAGGAGCCTCCACCATTGTATTTTATATGAATTGAGAGAGTATTATAAAAGTGATGTAGCCCTTTGGGCTCTTTGTGCCGTGGATCCGCATAATATTTGTGTGTTCTATTTGTTTTATTTATCTCTTCACTTCCGTTTTATACTTTACAATATGGTATTAGAGCCTAATTTCTCTTCCTAGGTTTGGACCCCTATTTTGGGGTATTCCCTTGGCATCTGAAGTGTTGCTAAGGGTTTCTCGTGTTTTATGACTTGTTTGGGCTGTCGGTTTGTTCGGCAGTAATGTTCTTTGTCTTTGCCGTGTCTCCGGCAGTTTTTATTGACTTGTTTGGGCTGCCGGTATGTTCGGTAGCATTGTCTTTGTCTTTGCCGTATCTCCGGTAGTTTTTATCGATTTGTTTGGGCTACTGGTGTGCTCGGTAGCATTGTCATCGCTTTTGCAGTGTCTCCGGCAGTTTTTTGTTGACTTGTTTGGGTTGTCGGTGTATTTGGTAGCATTGTTCTTCGTCTACTCTCTTCGTCATTCACAGTTGTTGTTGCCCATCATCTCAATGGCAAGTTGGGCATTCATGCTCCAACTTGAGGGGGAGTATTGAAGATTTAATGGAGGAATCAGTGGAGGAAAATCTTTCAGTAATTAATGTTGTTTCCTATTATTGAAGATTTGGTGTTACTAGAGGAATCAGTGGAGAAAAATCCTCCTTGTTTCCTATTTTCTAATTCTTTCCATTCTCATAATTTCTTCTATATAAAGGAGCCTCCACCATTGTATTGTATATGAATTGAGAGAGTATATTAAAAGTGATGTAGCCCTTAGGGCTCTTTGTGTCGTGGATGTAGGCCCTAGTGGCTGAACCACGTAATATCTGTGTGTTATACTTGTTTTATTTATCTCTTCGCTTATTTTGCAACAAGTACCATCAAGTTAGTTTCCCGCTTTGTGGAATTCTGTTATCCTAGTAATTTTTATTACATTTTGCTACCAACCAAAATACCAACTTTTTGTAGTAATGGTGATTATTTCGACCCTTTAAAAGTGCACTCTAAATTCTGATCTGACTTCCATTTTCCAGAGAGCTTCCCACGTTTATTCTGAGGCCAAGCGCGTGCATGCTTTCAAGGACACTGTATCATCAAAATTAAGGTGGGCTTTATTTTCGCACCAGAAGCTATCATTTCATGTATTATCTATGCTTATGCATGTGCAGTGAATTTTTTCATGTCAGACAAAACCTTTCTCGCAAATGTATGGCGAAGCTGCTTTAGATTAAACTTGCTGATCTAAAATTAATTTGTTTCTTATGATAAAATTGAAATATTTGTTGTGCAGCGTAAATAATTGTTTTGAAAAATTTAATTGAAAAATTAAATGGCTGATTAGGGTTGAACAATGTTCATTATTGTTATATTTCCATTATATGCTCATATTGGTCATTATTATTATTTGTTATTGCAATTTGATGTTTCGTGAGCTTCAGTCATTGCATCTTTTGTTCATGTATTAATACAACCTAATGCCAAAAAAGCAACTAAGTTTTCCAGACTCTTTTGACTCCAGCTTTTAGTTTGACATCCATTTTATTTCATATCCAGTATTCCAGTGTCTCTCTCAGTCCATCTCTAGAAGCATTCAGAAACCTAAAGAATTTCTCAAAAAGTCTCGAGTTTCTTTTCTGGAACTAAAATTCAGTCACTTTGTTTTTCAAGTTTGTTGAACTTTAACCTCCAATGAGTTGTTATTGCAGTGAAGAGGACATGCTGAAGAAGCTTGGTGACCTTATGAATGAGAGCCACCACAGCTGCAGTGTTCTATATGAGTGCAGGTATGAGCCGCGTTTCCTGAATGTGTGTGCACAATATTATCAACAATAATGACAAGAAAAAGTGAGACTGTAGTAGATCTCTCAACATAAAAGAATGTCAATGTTCTGCTATACTACTTAGTAGCTTGCATATTCTCGAGCACATGCATCACATGCTCCTTCTTACAGGCATATATATATATATATATGCACATGTAATGTTTGAGAATATCTTTCGCATATGTTATGAAGCTGTCTATGTAGAATTTATTTTTTATTTTTTGGGGATCTTAAACATACAAGTACTTTTTATTTAAGTTTCTTAGTTAAAAAATGAACAAAGAAATCAATAAAACCATTTTACTCGTTAATTACTTCTTCATTATCGCATTAAAGATTATTTTAGTTTGGTTATGACAAACAATAAATGTGATTATTCGTTACTCTATATTGAATTGTTTGGGTTTTTTTTTTTTTTTTCTTCCTTTTCAAAAGTAGCTGAGAGCCTGAGACATGCTTATAAATCCCGAATTAGCAGTTTTGCATCATCCATTTGATAAAAAAATACACCTCCAACATTTATTATCCTATTGACTGATGACTTCTTATTGTTCTTGAAATTAGCTGCCCGGAATTGGAAGAACTTGTAAAGATTTGTAGAAATAATGGTGCTCTTGGGGCAAGACTTACCGGAGCTGGTTGGGGTGGTTGTGCAGTTGCTTTAGTGAAAGACAGTAGTGTCCCACAATTCATCCTCGACTTGAAGGTTAGTTTTACGTTCCGTTACATGGAAATATAGCTTTAATCGGTTGCTTAGAACGGAAGATTTCACAAAAATGACTTAAAAATGGCTGGTTTAAAAAAAGCAAGCTTATATAGTTGTCTAAAAATTCTTCTACGTTGTCAGAGTACTTGAAAGCTGTTTTCACTGGTCCATCCATGATATTCGAGTGCCTTTTAAACTAGAAATATTGGTGAACTTGTAGTAATCAATATGACTTTGTGTTTGCATCAGGATCAATTTTATCAATCAAGGATTGAAAAAGGGGTGATAAGCAAGTTTGATCTTGGCCTCTACATTTTTGCTTCCAAGCCGTCAAATGGCGCCGCTATTTTCAAATTTTAGTTTGTATATCCTAGACTTCCTCCTACTCTACTCTTCTCTTCTCGAAACTATATCACATCTCACTAAATAATAAAGTGCATCCTTTTTAACTTCAACATTATATATCTTTTATTTTTTGTTTTTTATTTATTTATTTATTATTATTATTATTTTTTTTGAGAATATACACGTTTATGTTAGGGTAAATTACACTAAATTCCCTGAAGTGTTAATATACATTGACCTCTCATCTTATTTGTCAAATTACATTGACCTAGAAATTGCTGACATTAGCATTTTTTGTGGTTGATTGTTAACGAATGGAAAGTCGATCTATATCGACTAAACTTCAAGAGAGGTCAGTGTAATTTACCCTAATTATACATATTATTATATAATAATAAATATATGATGGCAAAAATGTTACTTATTTCCTCAAAAAGCCAAGAATCTCTTTCAGCACAAGAGTACAGACAAGATAATCCAGTAAATCATGTAATATATCTCACATACTCCAATGGGATGGACAAAGATAAGCTTCTGTAATAAAGTAATATTTGCAATATCATAAATGTATCCAAACTAATAAATTCTTTTAACCACTAAATGATAAGATTTCCCTATGAAGCCCTTCACTCTACAAAGGTCATACCAGCTTGTCTAGTCATAAAACCTCTTAATATGAAACAAAATAATAGACCACCACCATATCTGGCTACACCCAATGCTATAATGAAAGTTTATGGTTAAAACCTATTAGGGTTGAAGCCAAATTCAACCTAGGAAGATCAAAATTCACATCCAATTCATTGACCCTATTGGGAATCATATCATTCCGGTAAATCTGTAGTAGTTTCGAAAGTTGGACAAATCTGACTTGTTTATTTATGTGACAGAGTAGTTTTGAAAGTCAGACAAATCTAACTTGATTTATAGTATCATTATTCAAAATTAAATTCAGTTCATAATTACCTAGGATATCATATCTTATCACTGAAATTAAGTACCAACAAAAATCCAATCAATGGGTGATTTTTGTATAATATCTGAATAAATAAACAAATAAAAGTACTAGTAGTACTCTTCTTAACTGAAGAGACAATATTATTTATAAGAAAAAAAAAAAAAAAAAAAAAAAAACATTAAACTAATCAAATAGCTCTACGAAGTAACTTGAATTGAAAAGTTCCAGATTTGAGATCCCAGTACAGCCCTATCTCATCTTCAGCACGCAAACGTCGGTCATGGGCCAAGTTGGGACAAGAAAGGACGTAGTCGTCGTCGTTGGGATTGGGGTTGGGGTTCAGTAACTTGTCGAAAAACGTGGCTTCGTTGCAATGCCTCTTAGGGTTGTTCTCCTCAGTGACATCCCACACAATGACATGAATCTTCTGCCCCAGCACCACCACTTGGTTGGCCACGCACAGATTCCAGTACCGGAAAACGTGCTGGAATGCGTCGGTGAATGGCACGACTAGCTTGCCGGTCATGATCTCGGACTGTGTGAGGCTCTTCCTGAGGTGCCATGGGTTCCGAGGATCAAACTTTGGTGGTGAATATATGTCCCATATCTCAACTAGGACACGAGTCACCTGAAAGGGTGTCTCGTTGGCTGCTTCTTCTTCTGCTTTGGTTGGAATAAAGTTGTAATAGAAAGTTTTCTTCATGATGATGGAGGAGGACAGACAATGTATGTAGAAGAGAGGATTGAAAAAGGTTTAGGATTTATAGAGACTAGCTACTAGGTTGATTATGGAAAGTTTGGATACTGAGAATTTTTTTTTTATTTTCTTCCGGGAATATTGGTGTTAAGTCTTTCACTTTTTTTGGTAATAAGATTATTCTTTTTTGAGGGAGATCTTCACTTGGCCGAGTTACCAAATTAAAGAAAAAAAACCCTAATCTTCCATAGTCGAATCCTCAAATATTAATCACCATACTAGGAAATATGAACTGTACTTTCAACTATTGATAAAATTTATTTAATGTTATTTTCTCGCAAACTCAACTTTGACGGTGTGGATCAAGGGGGTAGTTCACCTGATATTTTCTCACATTTCAAAGTAAAAAGATTAGATGATTGGTTCAAGTTCATAACGAGACACCTTTCAAAGTAAAAGATTCAATATTGAGAAATTATTAGATGGTTCTGGTTTATTTGACACTTGGTGGACTAATTCTCGATCATGAAACTTTGTAATTTATTAATACATTCTTATAAGACTATTTTCTTAATTCGAGAGTTTGTATTTAACTGATCCACCAAGTATTAATAGTCCAAGACTATCTAATAATTTCTCAGATTCGATAATTGGTTCAAGTTCATGAGGAGACATGTGAGTGTGTGCTACACCGACTTTCATGTAACTTTCACAATTTAACACCCCTTCTACAAAACATATGCATATATAAAGAGAGAGATCGTACTACAAATTATGATAGTAATAATTCAATATATATTAATACGCATACCATTATTAATACGTGTCTAATAGTTGGTGTATTAATAATATATTGAATTATTACCATTATTATTTTATTTATTATCTGTAACGACCTAGCTCCTTTTGGATCCGGATCATTAAACGGGTCCTTACTAGACTAAAAAACGTTCGAGGGTAATACGGTCATTTCACGTTAAATTTACATATCAAGGTCCGAAAAGGGCAAGATGGTAATTTGCCATATTCTAATAAATTAAGACTCAAAGGACGTAATAGTCATTTACGTGAATTACATAATAAATAAAGTGAGGTTCGGGGCAATATAGTCCTTTCGGTGGTGAAAATATAATTATTGCATTTTAGTGGGTCATAAAATAATTACGTATAACCTCACTGGGGTGTCAAAGTGTAATTTAAGAATTTAAAATAGGAATTACATATGAGACAGAAACCGGTCGATGTATATACATTATACGTTGACGTATGGGAAGCCATACGTTGACTAGTTTGGGACATGATATCGGTCGATGTATAGGAAGCCATACGTCGACTGGTTTGCAACATGAGCCACAATGACTCACACTGTGAAGATACCGGTCGATGTATGGGAAGCCACACGTGGATCGGTTCTGGGAAACTCTCACTTCTTTTCCCACTATCCAATGATAACCCAAATACACCAACATTAGTAATTCAACCACCCACGCCACTACGCTTACGTGTAATTTTAAATACATTTCAACACTAAATTGCAATAATAACAACCACGTTGTTAACGTAATTTACCACACGTTACTTAAAATATACAAATTGATTTTGAGAGAGTAAAACTTAATTACATTCTCTCAAATAACCATTTACACAATGAACCTCAATACATCACACATTGCAAAATAATACACCTTGAGTTAGTATTTTACAAAATTAGGTTTATTTACAAAAGATATGAAAAAGAGCATTTCTCTACTCCAAGCTAAGGCTAAGTTGGATTACCGTCGGCTACTTCTTTTCCATGACCTGAAAAATGTAGAATATGATGGGGTGAGCAATATGCTCAGTAGGTGATACTTAAGACACGTCTCTTGTATCCCCGTGAATCCAAGCAAAGAATAAAGCGACAGGAATTGGGGTCATACAAAGTCGGGAAAATACAACATCATATCCGAGCTCAACATTAACAATATAATGCAATGGAATGTAAAGCATGTCAATGTCACTCCCCATTTTCAAAACCGTTCATCCATCACTTTCCAAATTGTTAAGGTAACCCCCTTTGGTGACTCCGCAGCGCCGAGAGAAGGATTGGCTACTGTCCCTGACCTTTAGTGACTTCGCAGCGTCATTATGGGGACCAGATAGCTCAACCACGCTAGGGCAATCTCCCTAGTTCCCTCTAGGTTACATTAACCTACCCGCCCGTTGGTGACTCCACAGCGACCGGGTTTTATCAAAACACTTTCATCAATATACTTTCCCAAAACTCCCCTTTTTCATTTCAAAATCAATTCTACCCATTTCTTGTACAATGTAAATGCATAGATGCATTTATGTCATGCCAATATACTCATCATTACACAACTAACTCAATTTAAGTAAGCAAGGCATAATTTCACAAGAATTTCTCAAGAAATTTCAATATGCTCTTATACAACAATACATTTAGCATAACGAACATATATAAATCATCACATAGGCAAATTTTCCACATAAAACATTAATTACAAGCTCTCACATACCCACATACACATGTTCTAACTACTTTTAAACTACAACTAGCACAAATAAGCATGTCTTGCAACAATTTAGAAGATGTAATTCACATAGGAGCAAGAAAATTGTAGATTAAGAGCTCCTACCTTGATTTTGAGCAAATCCTTTATAATGGGCCAAGAATTTCGAAAATGCTAGGAAGCTCCAAATCTAAAATTGTTGGTATGAATGCGTAGAGTTCGCTGTGAGCTTCGTTTTGCCTCAAACGACACTTAAATTCACCAAGAAATGGAGGAGAAATCAAGCTTCAAAGGTTTCTTCTAAAAAGAAAAGAAAAATGGAAGAAAAATGAGAGAGGGAAGAAACTAGTGGGGAGAGAGACAAAATGAGGGGAAAAAGAATGGTCTCTAGACCATTTAAGCCTTAGTGGTGGGTCCCACCAATTCTTTTTATTTCCTCTTTTTCTTTTACACCAATTTATACATCACACAGATAAAAATGCACCACTTACAAATACCACTCAACCCATATAAATTAAAATGCACAAATGCAAATGGATCCAACCACAATCCCGTACGCCAAATGTGAAAAGATGAAAATGCCCTTACGGTGACAAAAATTTCTGAAAAAAAAAAAAAAATGAGAAATGCTAAAAATTGGAAACCTTACAATCTACCCTCCTTAAAGAGATTTCGTCCTCGAAATCTACCCTCCTTAAAGGAGAAGGCATGACCACACACCTTCCTCAGAATCACTTCTCAAAATTCCAAGACAAAGGACTCAACAACCTAACTGCCTGTGACACCAGCGCCAACATGCAATCACACTCTGCCACTAGAAAACCCAATGATCACCCCCCTATGAGGGTACTCATTACTCACAACACTGTTCACCAAACCCGCTGAATTCAATACTTGACTTAAAACTAACACTGGTCCTCTCTATACCGCTATACAAAGTTTGAAAGAAAAAAAAAAAAATAGTCACAAGACCC